AAAATAATATTTATCATGAATTTTAATAATTTTTTCTGATTTTTTTGAAGCTTTAGTATGACCGATTCACCCGATTTTCGATCCGGATCGCCGATTCACCGATCCGGATTGTCGATTGGCCGATCCGGATCGGTTTTTCAGGTGCACAATCCGGATCACCGATCCGCTTTTTAAACCATTGCTTCAAACCATATTTTTGTGGTTCTATATAGGTTAATAACAAGAAATTAGATATGTATTTTTGGTTGAATATGAAGTCTTAGAAAGAAATTAGGGGAATATTTGGGTGGTCGGTCACTTAAGATTGTTTTATGCATTCGTTTGAAGGTCAATGCACATTATACAGATCATTGTATGGCTTGGGCACGGAATGTATTGATGAACTTTTTTTATTTTATGTCATAAATATTTGGCCTTTTGAGCTTAGATTTTGAAGTTTGGAGGTTATGCAAGGGTAACTATGTTTGTAAAATGTGAAGTACGATTTGATCATATATTTTGTATTTTGAATGGTTCGGTCTTACTTCTAAATTCTAATAGAATGGAATGGAATGGAATGGAATGTGATGAGCAACGCCGCGAGCCTAGAGAACCAGCCATCCGTTCTTAGTGCTGCTCCGCGGGACGGATAAATCATACCGCGTTGCTGTCGCACGCGTGTGGTCTTGGAGTTGCATATGATGTTCCACCGGGACCAACTTGCACGGTAAGTCCTTCATAAAATGACGTTTCACTCGAGAGACCAGATGGACCCGCTACAAAACTTAACCTTCTTGGTAAATAAAGTTGGGAGACAGCGTAACAACCAATTATTGACTGTTGAGATAACGGTGTCGATACGATACGATACGATACGCTGCAATTGGTTCCCATCTACTGCCGACACGATTGATGTTAACCTGTTGAGAGAGAATTCAGAGAGAGAAACAGTGGTTGAGAGTTGCGGTGAATTGGAGGGATATGGAGACTTAGACGGCGAGAGTTAGAGAGATAAGCAGGGAGTTAGAGACGCAGGGAGTTGAGAGTTGCGGTGAAATGGAGGGGTTGATCAAGGGCCTCCTCGATGTTGCTCTTGGACAGGGGAATGAACCAGACTCTCCTTCACGAGAAGAACGCTCCAGATCCACCTGGGCCGAGGTAAATTCAAATTTCCCAGTTGAGAAGCTCGACTTGCCAATAAGTTTGTTTAATCAAACTTGTGATTATTCAGGTTGTATCGGAAGGAAATGACAATGAAGGTTCACGTCCTCAGGACAATTATCGTCCCCATCATAGACAGGTTTCTCTTTCTTTCTCATTTGTTTTCTACTTCTTTCTTTTTATTTAACTCAATAAGAGGCTTCAGCTTTTTTGTTGTGAAATTTAGGAGGAGGCTGATGATGGTTGGCAAAATGTTGGTGGGTATCAAAGGAAGCATGAGGAGTATCCACAACACAAGGTAACAATACCTTTTTACATTTCTCCTTTTTTATTTGGTCCTCATATTGAATATATTTGTCTCTTTTTTATGTTGAATTATGGGCATCTTAGTTGTTTCCAATTTAGAAGATAGCAGCGAGAATTAGGGCAATGAACTGAGTGGGCACTTGCAAACAATTATCTTTTTAACTAAATTGGATTTTATATGAAATCTGTAAATTATAAATGTTGAGGTAGAACAAATTACAATTAAGGCTGACTCCCTCTCTTTGTCTCTCTTGAATCTCTATATCTCAAGCGTAATGATCCTCTCTCCCTTCTTCACCATCAATCTTATTAACCACAGGGTTTAGCAAGTAGCCAACAATATGACAACGCGGATTCATATGCATCTCACGAAGACTGCCGTCCACATCGAACCGACATAGACTATCCTCCCCGTAGAGAGGTCGGCTTTATTTCTTCTCTATTTCACCTTCCTTTAGTTTCCTAGTTATTTTATTTGCTTTTGAAACATACATTGATCAGGACACTTCTTCTTTATTGTTGAGTTCAGGGGGTGAATGTAAATGGTGATGGTTGGCAAACTTTTAGTGGACATCACCGGAAACAAGAAGAGCACTCCCCCAAGGTTTCTTGCCTTTTTTGTCTTCCCTTATTGCACATATTATTATATTTCAATTGGCTATTACTTCTTTGCTTTTTTTTTGTGTTCATTCTCATATTGGATCCATTTAATCACAAAAAATCTGATTATTGTCAAAGTTGAATGCTTCTTTGCCAACTTGAGAAATGAATGAGATCTTTACATCTTGTGCTAAGTGCATAACCATGAGAAGATTAGGTGCCTTTGGTGGCCGCGAGATATTGGACAATGTACCAATTGAATGTATGAGGCTGTCTTTGAAGGTGAGTCTTTACAATGTTTGACTACTAGGGCTAGTTGACTTGGACTCGCTCGAGGAACTTGGGCTTGACAGGCTGCCTTGCCAAGTACCTCCCAAACTTGTGGCCCTATAAAAGTTCGTTAATATTAATTAAAATGGATTTATAATTGATTTAATCTTTGATTAAATTAGTTATAATTGACTTGTTATTGGTTTTCTTATATACTTTTAATGGTATTGTGATTTTTAATTGTTTTCTTAATTGTTCTATTTTTCTCAGAAAATGATATTCAACAAAAAAAAATTATGTTTTTGACCTTTTGAATATATTTTTTTCATCATCTGAATACTATTTCCACTGTTTATCTTGCTTTATTTTTTCCAGTTTTTTTTTTTTTTTTTTGGGATCTTTTGATCTTTCTTGGCTCGGTTCAAACTTAGGCAAGTTGAATCGGAGTTAAACCGAGTAACCAGGCCATGCTAGGCCTGAGTTCCATCACGACCTGAGTTTGAAAGCATTTCGCTAATGTTTTCGAGCTAGTAACCTCTTTTCTCATGAGAAGAATATCACCAATATATATTGTTGTGGAAAGATATACTGAAAGGGTTCACATATAATGCATAAATCTACTATGGGGACTCTGCTTAAAAATAAATATCTCAGAACCCTATGCATATTCTGCCTGGAGAGTTGTAAAATAAATCTTTCAAGTTAAACTTGTGGGATTTGTATGAGACCACAAAAAGCCTTTAACTGGCTTCAAATAATTCTTTGTAGAATGTGTCAATTATTAAATTTCACAAATTCTTAAGATTTTTCATTTGCATTAATGTTGGAAGGTTTTTATATAAATCATATTCAATTTGTTCTGGTCGCTATTTTGATATTTGATTCCAAGAAAGGGAGTCGACGTTATACCATTTTCCTGCCTGTCTAAAAACAGCTTACTAGTGAATCTCATCATGAATATGGGACTGGTTACACTGTTGATACAAACCCCTCCAAAGAAGAGCTCTCTGATCTATCAAAAGCATGTAATAGACTCTGGGAGCTGGATCTCAACCGCTTGGAACCTGGAAAAGACTATAAGATTGATTGTGGAGAAGGGAAGAAGGTTTATCAAAAGGAAGATATGGCTCAAAGTAAACTGTTTACCTGGTTGAACCCTGATATATTTAAGCAGCCAACTTATTTTCGTTTCCGTTTATTACTGGATAATTACAATCCAAATGAAGGATGCAAAGAAGTTGTTACTTCTCAAGAAAGACAAGAACAGGCTGCATTTATTGAGGAGATTAGTTCCACTGCACCAATCAAATATCTTCATCAATATCTTGTCCACTTAGGTATTGCACCTGAGAGTTATGAAGATTTCAAGGGAATGCTGGTGCATTTATGGTTCGATCTTTACAACAGAGGTGGGGCATCCAGTTCTTCTGCTTTTGAACACGTTTTTGTTGGTGAAATCAAGAACAAAACAGAAAATGAAGTCTCTGGTTTTCACAACTGGATCCAGGTAATGTGCCCCCTTCATAACAATTGATTCATATTATGCTTTTGTCACTGTTCTTGCTTGATTATTGCAAAGTTTGCAAAAGGCTTCATTAGGCAGTATGCTTGTTGGAAAATATGCAAAGTCTAGGAAAAGAGCCCGGGCTTAATTGGTTAACGCTTGACGATTTGCAACGCTACGTCCTAGGCTCAATTCCTACTAAGGGTAGGGGCCCTCTCCCCACTGACTCTCCCAAAAAAAAAAAAAGATGCTAAGTCTATGGATTCGTGCCCACTTAAGCTGATGTGGTTTATCACTTGGCAATGTTAGTCACAAAATTCCCCCAAAATATCACTTTCAGGAAATTTATTTGCTTTTGTGCCTGCCCAGACAGGCGCTTGGTAGTACACACGCACATGCACATGCACATGTCATAAAGCATATCAGTAATTTATCGGATTTAAATTTCTTTCTACATTCTGATTGGCTCATTCCATAAGTTCTAAAAGGACATAGTGAGAAATCCATATTTATTAATTTTTATTTTTGATGAGCTATTCATTAGCAAAGAGATGCTAGATTACACTTAGCTCTCCCCACCGCACGCCACCCCCTAAAAAAAAAAAAGCATGGGAATTAATGATCTCTAATAAACCACAATAAGGAATGTTCAACAATTAAAAGGTTCGTGGAGAAATGTCTATTCTCCAATTGATAAGGCTCTAGCTTTTTCTTTCTTAGTTTTGATTCTCCTATTGAATCTTTCATGATGATCCTTGAGCAGTATTTGTTGCCTTGAGCACTTAAAATACTGGACTAGCACCAAGCTATAGACTTTCAAACCTCAAGTAGGATCACCACCTATTTTTGTTTTTCATGTTATCTATTTTGCGTTTTAGGTTTTTAGGTCCTGAGGTTGTTGGCTTGCAGTATTACTCGGACACTTAACACGTGTGTCAGTGTCTAGTTTATGTTGAGAGTGTCTAGCACAGGAGGCTACAAAGCAGTAACTATTTGCACATCCATGTAGTATCCTACCCCTTAAATCTTTTAGTTATATATGTGAATTTCTCATGCTTAAACTCCAAGGTCATTAGGCCGAGATGGTAGAGCGTGCTTCGCTTAAAGGAGGAGAGAGAGGTCATGGGTTGAAAACCAACAGGTGACGTTCTCTTTGGTGCCATTTGTTATTGCTTCATATCGTCCAGGAGCAATATTCATTTATAAAATCGATGTTACTCTCTTTGGCAGAGGGGGCTTCACTCTAAAGAGGTCTTGGATTCAAGTTGAGTAGCACCCATAGGAAGTCGGGGTGCCGTTTATATTGCTTCATGTTGTCCCTTAGTAGTGTTAGCGTTACTCTCTCTCTGTGTGTTTGTGTGTGTGTGTGTGGATGTGTATCATCAAAGTTACAAAGTCCCCTTGATTGAGTGAACTTCATTAAGAAGAGGTCTTGAGTTCAAGTTCGAGTGGGGCACAAAATTGGGTGGTTGCACATTCTCAATATTCAATTAAAGGGATACGACGTGTTTTGAAGTCAACACTTCTCATAAAAATGTCGACATGTACTGGAAAATGGTCAAATAACCCGATGCATCTGTCCATGGTGCTGGAGGAGTGTCTGGATGTGTCGCACCTGACACAAAGGGAAAAATGGTGTGTCTATGTGAAATAAAAGCTAAATGAGATCAGTTTGCTAGTAATTGTTGTCCAGCTGAAATCAATTGTTCATCACAGACTGAGGATTGTTTTATTTGGAATGTAGAATCCATCAGAATGCCTCATCTGTTACGCAAAATTATTGGAAGCAACATAAAGATGGTTCTTTGCAATGTGTGTGGAGCCATACAGTTAGTAGCCTATTGTCAGTTAGCTTTATGTGAATGATTGAGTTGTGCTCATAATAGCTATGTTACTTGTAAATGTTCCAAGTGTTGTTGGTGAATCTCTTTCAAAATATGTGTAGGTTATCTTTTAAATCTAAATTTAGTGATTTGAAGAGATACATGTGAACTGATATTCTTTTTTTTCTCTTGGTTTATGTTTTTGCACTTTGCAGTTTTATTTGGAAGAAACAATGGGAAGAGTTGATTATCAAGGATACATCATTCCCAGAAGGCACAGAGAAATGGTAAGCAATAAATATTCATTTTGTGTCTCGACTTATTAAAAATAATAGTCTTTATATTTTCATATCTTGCTTCTATCTTTTATATAAGTTTAAAACCCAAACAGTGCAGTAGGATGCACATTCTTTCGTTGACTTTCCATCTTTCTATGCACCTAGGGATAGAAGACGTGCAAAATGAGGACACACACATTAAGAGAACGATGCTTATTTTTTATTTTTTTGGTTTCACATAATGAGCAAGATTATGTTGAAATGGCTGTTGTCTAACTGGAAGGGTATCCATTATCCAGCTTGTCATTTCTGGAGAGGGACTCATCATCTTATCTACCTTAATAATGGGTATGGAAAGGAGGAAGGAGTAAAAAATCTACTCCATAACAGTTGATGTATAGTTGTCAATGCCAAATGTTTTTAAGAGTTAACTGTCTCACAATTGGAAATTTGGAATTGATGACACGAATATTGATATTGATATTTCTGTATTCTCTCTGTCTCTCTCTGATCCACCTGGAATAATTGCAGAATAGTCTCTAATCCTTGACTTTCTCATCCGTGAAACAATAATAGGAACTTTTCTTTAGTTATTTTGATGTACCCAATTGTTTAAATAATATTTATGGTATCAAGTAAAACTGATCTGGATTACTCATAAATCTCTCGCTTCAGCTTTTATGATTTTAATATTCCTTCTTGTGATCTACAGCCAGATTCTGAAACTCAGTTACTCACAGTCCAGTTCGAATGGAATGGTATTTTGAAATCAGTTTCCAGCACTTTGGTTGGAGTGAGCCCAGAGTTTGAGATTGCACTCTACACCCTCTGTTTTTACATTGGTGAGGAAGACAACCACGTTCAACTTGGTCCCTACCCTGTGAATATAAAATGCTATCGTTTTGGGAATGAGAAGATTGGCTCCGTCTTTCCAATAGCTCAGAACTAGCTTTCTAGTGGATGAAGGGAAACTATATGGATTTATGTTGGGCGTCTGTAAATTGAGCAAATGCTTTATTTCAAAGAGAAACGACCATGCTATTCATTATGGACCTTTGGCTAACTCTCGTATAAGCATACCTCTTTGATATATTATTAGTTTTTAGTAGAATTGAATAATAAAAAGGAGTGTTGGGGTTTTACTGGAAATTTTTGTTTTTTTTTATCTCAACAAAAAAATGCATGTCCAGTTATTTGTTACTAATGTGCCTGAATAGAGAGAGAGAGGATATGTAATGATCTAATGTGCCTGACTAGAGACAGAGGATGTGTAATAATCCAATGTGCCTGACTAGAGAGAGAGATGGTGCCCTCTCATACTCTTAGGATCCCATGCGCTCTACCACGTACCACATTCAAATATGGAGGGTTTCTCTCTTCAAATCGACTGACTGCTTAATCCTTTTCTAGAGCTTGTTTTCCCTTTTTTCCAATCCATTTCCATTCTAATTTCTCTCTTAATACTGCCACTAAATTTGCTCTCCCGCTACATGCATGATTCATGAATCGGGCTTGGTCAAGCTGGACTTGCCCGGACGATCATGCCTGATCCCAAACCAGGTCAAATTGGAAGTTAACGCGGTGTTCCTTAATTCCTTGATGTTGTGTAAAATGCGCCCAGTCCAGGGGGATATTCACTCCGTCTAGCGGGTCAAACGAGTTGAGTGCTATCCTCTTCATTTTTTTGCTTTTATTTTTTATTTTTTATGTTTATTTTTTATTTTTTTTTACCAAAATTTAGGTATCCACTCTTCTCTTAATCTACACTTAATCTAGTACCTGTAAAAAGAGAAAAAAAAAAAAATCCCAATAATAAAATAAAATGAAACACCTAATTTCATATTCATATGGTTATTAAAAAATAAAATATTCGGAGGCGTTGGATCTAGATCAAACGATTAATGGCTTAATTGATTTAAATTGAATGGATGGGTGGAAATATATAACTTCTTAATTGATTTAAATTGGCTGGATGGGAGGAAATATATAACTTCTATATAGTATGGAGTGTATAGAAAACTTTCTCAAAAAAAAAGAAAAAAAAAAAGGATGTAGGTGCTCTTATTGTTAATGGGGAAATTTATTAAGAAAAAGTTTCATTTAAGGTTGCAATCTTATACTATTGAAGAAGGTGCACTTTAAAAATCCTTTAGAAAAGAGTGTTATGATGTTGGAGTACCTTCTACTCAATCATCTCATCCTCAAGATGTGTGGATATAAAGAAGAAACAAAGAATTTCAATCCCTAAAAAGATGTACGTGGTGACTATGTTATCTGGATGGTCTAATTTCATAACTTGATTTGAAAGGCATCATAAATTTAAATTTTTAAAAATTTTTAAAAATTGTTTTTGAATTTAATTTTTTGAGAAGTCAAATTTAGATAAAACTAGATTTAAAAGCCATCATAAAGATTCCAAAACTTGAATTACATTTCCAAACAAATTTTAGAGCCTCGCCTATAAAGAAGGTACATTATACAAACCTCACTCATTTATCAAAATGCACTTAAAGATGAAAGATGAGCTACTTAAACGTTTTATATATGTTTTATTAATTTAAAAGCACTATCAAATTAGACGACCATTGAAAATGAGTAAAAATACTAAATAGTAATTTCTCCTTTCCTTGGAAAATGTTTCTATACTTCCTCTACAACATAGAAGATCTATGCTTCATCCAGCCGTCCAATTTTGATCATGAGAGCCACTCACCGTATGATCTTAGATCTGACGTCTCAAAGTATTTTATTTTTAGTTTTTTTTATACAAATTGTATAAATATGAAATTTGGTATGTGCCATATTCTCATTGGGGAACACCTATAAAAAAAATATTAAAAATAAATTTTCAATAAAATACAATGATCAAAATACCCTTTGAAATTTTCAGGGGTATTTTGGTCATTTTATTTTATTAGAAATATTTTTTTTTATATTTTTCGCTAGTACGAGTTTAATAGAGGATTGGACGTACAAATTTTAGTGTTAAAATAGTTTATAGACAAAATTAAAAATAAAATAGTGTAGAGATGTGACAATGTGATTGGGGCAATCCTAACCCTCCATTCAGAATGGATGGTTGGATAAGGAGAAGTATATAAGTTTTATGTTGTATGGAAAGCATAGAAAGCTTGCCCTTTTTCCTTGGTCAATACTCATTAATTGCTAAAAGCTTTAGAAGATAAATATATAATACCTGTGAATATCTTCCTGTACTACACATCGCTGCATCGGATAATGCATTGTTGAATCGATCTCAAGAAATTTGATTGAATTCGAAGGTAACTATCTATTTATTTTTTATTTACAACTATTACGAATTTTCTGATTTTAAGGGCATAAAAGGTATTTTTTCTCTTTTTTTTTTTCTTCCAAAATGCCTTTATTTGAAACTTCAAGTTCCGAACTGACTTGCTTGCATTATGCCTTTGTTGTTGCAAGGAAGTTACGATTACTCTTAGCTGCCAAATGTCAAATTAAATGGCTTGATTGTACCAAAAAGTTTGCGAAGATTTTTTTGAACTTTGAATCTAGTCATTGACATACTCACACCTACCTGATTGGAAGTCGGACAAACATGATTGATTATGTTCTCCTTTTATTAAAAATAAATGGTCTTTTTGTATACTTTTAATTAAAACATATGCTCAGAATCTAAAGTTCTGAACTTAAATTTTAGCAAAACATTTGTTTGGAACTTTAATTCCTAAACACTATTTATTTATTTATTTTTATTTTATTTTATTTTTAATGTTATGTTTGGAGCTATGTTCTATCCATAACTTTCTTGTTGAACTTTTAGAAAAACTTATCTTCAAAATTATAGTTCAAAACATAATTTTTTACTCAAATCTAGATTAGGAACTCTAAGGTCAAGAATGTAATTTCTAAGCAAAAAATGAACTCACAAGTTAAAGAGTTTTGAACCCATAACAAAGGCGCATTGCAAGCAAGTGGGTCCGAAATTTGGAGTTATGAACTAAAAGCATTTTAGGAAAAAAAGAAAAAAGAAAATAAGACATGGACATAAAATAAAAAAGTTAGACATTTTTAAACGCCTCAAACATAGAAAGATATTTACGTTAATTTCCCATAACATTTAGGTATATCAAAATATTTTTACTTTTTTTTGTTTTAGAAAATCGTGAGGTCCATTTCATCAATGTTAGGGAGAGGAATGCTAGGGTTGCTTCTTTTGACATTTTCTGTATCTTTTCTGTTATCTTCTTTTCTTTATTTTTCTGTTGTATTTTCTTTTCATTAATCAATGATTCGTTAAAAAAAAATACAAAAATTTCTACTTAATTTGAATCAACTTTTAAGATTATTGTATTTTTTGTAGAATAGAAATTATGTGAACAATTTCAAAATCGTTAGTCTGGTTTCTCTCTATGGAGCGGTTGCCCCGCAACCAAGACAAGTGGGTACTAACTAACCGTTGTCTCTCTCTCTCTCTCTCTTTCTCTCTAACCAAAGTTAAAATCAACGCTCTTCCCATCTATCTAGCATCAAAAAAATCGGGAATCAATGGAATTAAGTCTCAAGTAAGTAATTGCGAGAAGCTCTATTCGACTCTAGGCTTACCGCAAACTGTTCGTTCCATTGCCCAACCTCTTTCCCATGTCCACCACCGCCCTCTCACTCTTCAATCCCCACCCCCCTCCTCCTCCCTCTCTCTCTCTCTCTCTCTCTCTCTCTCTCTCCTCCTCCTCCTACCTCCTACCTACCACCTACCTACCTACCTCCTACCTCCGTACCGTACCGTACCGTCCGTCCGTCCTCCGTCCTTCCTACCT